GCCGAGTTAATTTTGGGTATAAACATAGGATCAGGACGAAGGACCACCCAGTCAGAATGGAAGACACAAAGATCTTGTCTGATAGACAAAGCTGCAAGTTCCGAAATATGACGAGCGGAAGTGATCACAACAAGGAAAACTACTTTATACATCAGAAATCGGAGACTTGATGATTTCAAGGGTCTGAAAGGGCCCTTAGTGAGTGCAACGAGGACCTTAATAAGGTCCCAGGTGGGATAGTGGTGTACCACTGGTGGGCATAAATTTGTGGCTCCTCGAAGGAAACTCCGTATGCATGGATGATGGGAAAGAGATAGTAGACCTTCACAAGTGAGAACTGATGCCAAGGCTGCCACCTGTCTTTTCAACGTATTAGGTGATAATCCCTTGTCAAGTCCCTCTTGCAAGAACTCTAGGATTGGAGCCACAGATGGAGAGATGGGATCAATTCGAGACTTGGTACACCATTTGCAGAAACTGGACCATGTGGCATTGTAAATGAAAGTTGTTGAGGGGCGTCTGGCGGCTTGGATGGTGGCGATAACTCTGTTGGAAAACTTTTCGCTCCTCAGATGACTCCGCTCAACCTCCAGACGGTCAGGTGCAACCATTGAGGGTCCAGATGTTGAAGGGGTCCCTGGGTTAGCAAGACCCTGTCTGGCGGAATTCTCCATCGTGTTGATACGGATAGACTGCAGAGGTCTGCAAACCACGGCCCTCTGGGCCAGTAAGGAGCTACTAGAAGCAGCTCCGCCCTCTCGTCTAGCAGCTTCTGGATGACATTGGGAAGCAGTGGAAGTGGCAGGAATGCGTACAGAAGTCCTGGGGGGCCAACGACAGTGGAGCAAATTGAAGTTCTCCACTCCTTGCGAGGGGTATCTGGAAAAAAATCTCGGGAGCTGAGTGTTGAGGGGGGAAGCGAACAGATCCACCACCGGCTGTCCAAATGTCCTGACCGCCTCTTGAAACAGGGCCAGATGGAGTCGCCACTCCGATTGATTGATCGTGGCCTTGCTTAGCCAGTCTGCCTGTGTATTCAACAGTCCTGAAATGTGCTCTGCTCTGATGGAAAGTAGGTTGCTCTCCACCCAACGACACAAGTGCTCCGCTTCCCGCATGAGGTGCTTCGACTGTGTGCCCCCCTGTTTGTTTATGTGAACTTTTGTTGTTACGTTGTTGGTCAATATTAGTATGTGTTGATTGCGTACCTGTGGAAGGAAGCTGCAGAGAGCCAGGTGTACTGCTCGAAGCTCCAGCCAGTTTATGCTGCACGATTGTTCTGTGGAGGACCAGCGGCCTTGGGCTGTGAGCGATTGAAAGTGAGCTCCCCATCCAAACAGGCTGGCATCGGTGGTGATGGTAAGTCTGTGGGGCTCTTTGAAGAGACAACCTCTGTTTATGACTGGTCTGGTGACTCTTTTTCCAATTTACTGAGAACCCGTGTAGCTGTAGGGATTGTAATGTGGTCTGAGTATCTCTGAGTGCTTGATGAACGGAAGATGACAAAATTAATATATCATCAAGGTAACACTGGAGTCGCACAGGTACACCTTGGAGATGAGCAGCAAGAGCTGCAAGAACCTTTGTGAAGGTCCTGGGGGCAGATGCTAGTCCGAAAGGGAGAGCCACATATTTGAAATGGTGGTTATCATAACAGAATCTCAAAAATTTATAGTGGGACGGCCGAATAGAAATATGTAGGTACGCCTCCATCAGATCTATAGACGTAAGGACGTCACCCTTTCTGATGCCAAGTAAGATAGATTGCAGGGTGTGCATTTTAAATTTGCGATATACTAAGAAACGGTTAAGACGCTTCAGATCTAATATTGCTCTCCACCCCCCGGAACTTTTGAGAACAACAAAAAGATGTGAATTGAAACCTGGCCCTCGTTGATTGGTAGCTACTGGTTGGATGGCTCGTATGTCCAGTAGATGATGGATAGCTGTTTCCATAAGATTATGTTTAACCAGATCTCTGGAAACAGGGCATGACATGAAAAAGTCTGGGAGAGTGGATTGAAAGTCCAGTGCAAGGCCAAATCTGATCGTGTCTCTGACCCAGGAATCAGACGTTAAGGAGTCCCATTGGTCCACGAATAATTTAAGACGTCCGCCAATGGGGGTCGGGTCTGGGAAGTTATCTTGGACGCCGGAAAGACCTATTTCCTGCTCCTCGAAAGGATCTCTTAGATTGGCCACCCCTTCTGTTCCTATCCCCAAAGTCGGACCTCTCTGGCTGCTGCCCTGGTCTGAATGATGGGGGTCTCTGGTATCTGGGTGAGAATCCCTGATAAAAGGGCCAAAAGGATCCCCTCCGAAAGGACTGAGGGTTTCTAGAATCTGACTTCCGTAAAAAGGAAGGTAGAAGTTTCGGGTTTCGATTAGCAGCGGGTCGAGGGCAGGGCCAAACAGTCTGTCTCCCGCAATAGGAGATGAAGCCAGCTTGCATTTGTGCTTAAGGTCCATTTGCCAATGTTTTAATCATAGTAAGTGTTGCGCTGTGACATGTCCTCGGTGGTCCCTGAGGTCCAAAAGGTTGCCGACCCCTGGATTAACAAGATATGATCAAGGTAAAGTACGGTGGAGATGTAAATATATTGTAAATGTAAGTTCCCAATAGCGAAATTCACAAAAAATTAGCCTGAGAAACTATTATGGATAAATGGAATAGTGTTTTACAGGAAGGAATATTTTTCATTTCATCTGAATGAAATGATATTAAGTTTGATAAAACTTTTTTTATTAAAAAGTTTTTCTGTTTTAACAGGATTTAAAAATTAAGCCAGGTCTATTGTTTTTAAATAAAATAACTATTGAAGACTACATGCCATTACGATTACTAGTATTATTTCAATTAAGGGACATGGAAGGCAAGAAAATATGCACACTAATGTCCAACATACGTAAGAAATCCAGATAGAATGGAAAACAGCTGAAGCATCTCTTGCCAGTAGAATAAATAGAACTGGAAGGGAGGGAAAGAAAGAGAAAGATCCAGAATCTGCATACCTAATAGAAGAATCAAATGAAGCAAATTATCTGGAGGCTTGTTATACTATTAAGCCAATAGATCATACGAATAACATTGTCCAAAAATATAACAGAAGTATACAGTAAAGGAAAAGATTTTAGGAATGCCCAAACTAATAGAAGGAAAAACCTGTGCTGTTCTTCTTCCAAAACTTCATTTAATAAATACTACATAACCTGTGATCTGTTGGGTCATCATTTCAATTGTGTCATTATTTCAAAAATATTTACTTACCTAAAGAGAGCAATAAAATGACCTTAGGTGGTCAAAAAAAAATAATAGTGGGATCTGGATCAATTTTCAACTTCCTGTCAATTTCTCACTGACTTTGCCTATAAGAAGCTTGCAGGGAGAAAGCCAATGGGAAAGCTGGCTGGGAAAGTTGCAAGCTGCTAGGGTAAATCTTCCCAATCTGTGCAGTCTCCCCCAGTCCCTCTGTGCACATGCTGCGCTGGCTACTCACACACCAATGCACATTCTTCCTGACCTACAGTACACTCTTCATGCACTCTCCCTGATCCTCACCACATCTCTCACCCATCCCTTTGCTCCTTCCTCACCTGGCATCAGCTACTAACCTGCCTGCTGGCCTTGGATTTACAACTTCCTGCCAGCTTTCTCATTAACTTTGCTTGTGAGTGTCAGCAAACACAACTGAGTTCAGACTTCCTGCTGACTTCCCCATTGACTTGTGGGAAAGTGTCAGGGAGCACTGAAAATCACAATCACATGAACATAGCTGTGTAATGGCATTGAAGCAGCCATAACTTTTCCAAAGTTCAACCTCATGGAAGTATTTGGTTTTGGACACATTCTTTTAGTTTAGCCTGTCCATTTAAGGTACCTTGATTCAAAAAATGTTGCCTCATATGGCACCATTTTGCCAAGGCTACAAGCAGACAAACGGATATGAGAGTTTTAGCAGTATATGCATCTCCACACATAACTGCCCATGCTGTTACATTTTGCATCAGTGAAAGCTTCTGATATTCAAGAGTAGCCTGATGTAGCGCATATTACAGTAACTCAATCAGAGGTGACTAGAGAAAGGGTGATCATGGGTATAACCTCTCAATCCAGGTTTGGGCACAACATGAAGCTATACAAAGACTCTTTGTACAACCCCATCCAATGCCAAAGATAATATAGTCCTGGAATTGGCAAGACCCAAAACCCAAAGCCACTCAGTTTTGCCAGAGTTCAGCTGAATACTGTTGTTCCTTATCCAGATCCTCACAGCCTGAGACATCTATTATCCATACATTTGTTTGTTTGTTTAATTTTTATGCTGCCCATCTCCCCTACAAGGTGATTCTGGGCAGCTATTACTCACACCTTACAACTTACACCTCAGAAGTTGCTGCTTCTGAGGGTTAAAAAAATGATAAGAAAGCATGCACCTATTTCCAGAAGATAATACATATTTACCTCTATGGTAAACTACACACAAACACTGACTGTGTATAGTGCTGTTAGTTTCCAAAGACCTCCCCAAGAAAAACTGTGTAAACTGATCTTAAGATCTTAGCAGGTGTTCTGCTAGCAGATTTGTATGATTCATCTCAGACTGGTAAAGCTAAATGGTAAGAAAAGAATGTCCTAAAAATATTTCAAATATCTTTAGACCCTGAGAGTCATACTTTGTTTAATATAATACATACAACAAACAGGAAGCACAAGTCAGTGAACTATATTTCAATAAACTATGAAGTTCTTACCAGTTTTGAGGAATTGATTGTCAAGTAATAGTTGTAAATGCAGGTTTTATTTATTTATTAATTAAATTTCTATGCTGACCATCTCTCGCATAAGGCAACCCTATATACATTATAAAAATATGTACAGCTTTCTCTCTTATTGTGGAATCTTTCTGAGACAGAGTTCAACTTATTTGAAAAAGGTCCTAGGAACAATTTCATTGTAACAGTGATTACATCTATCTTATTGCCAGGAATATGATGCTTACCTTGCATTGTTATTTTTGTAGGTTCAGAAAACAGCGGAATGAGTAAGAGGTAGATGAGGTAGACAAATGAGAGCCCATTGTAGCGGAATGCACATGCTGTAGAGAGAAGAGAGAAACACAGATAAGTATAGGTAACATTAAGGTAATAATTAATTTGGTAGCACACTATCTAGATCTAGGTACTGTATATATAATGCATAGTTGCTACCAAATCTTCATATATAAATGTATGCATTCCTCCTCTCCCTCTCTCTCTCTGTATGTGTGTATGTGTATATAACTAGAGCATAGTAAATAACCTTTGGGACAGTGGTGGTATTCAAAGTTATTTATTACCGGTTCTGTGGGCATGGCTTGGTGGGCATGGTGTGGCTTGGTGGGCGTGGCGTGGCTTGGTAGACGTGGCAGAGGAAGGATACTGTAAAATCTCCATTCCCTCCCGAGTCCTGGGGGAAGGTTACATCAAAATCCCCATTTCCTCCCCACCCCACTAACCTGCTTTCCAAATCCGTTCTCCTATGCAGGGGAACAAAAGAAGACCCAGCCGATCAGCTAGGACGCGGGAGGCAGAGAATAGATGGGGACGGGGCCAGTTGAAGTGGTATTTGCCGGTTCTCTGAACTACTCAAAATTTCCGCTACCGGTTCTCCAGAACCTGTCAGAACTGGCTGAATACCACTTCTGCTTTGGGAGCTGGTGAGCATATTTGGAATTCTGAAAACGTGTCAGAGCCATTAGTAGAGCATTTGATTCATGTAAAGGTTATCATAGGAAACATGGCCTCTATGAGAATAACCACTACAAGAAGGCAAATTATCAAGGATGCATCCTGTCATTGCTCTACCTCCTGAAGATTCAATCTATCAGCCTAGTCAAACTTTGTCACTGGGCTACAGCCTCCATCTTTTTATTACTTAAGCATCTAATGATTTTTGTAAAAAATTAAAGATTATACTAGGAGCCTGCTAGGTTTAAATTTAAAATATTTCTTAAAGCATTGGTCTCCAAACTTTCTAGCTTGGAAGCCCAGTGCGGGGGTGGGGGGATGGTTCTGTGTGAATGGCAGGCACGCAGAAGAGTGCACAGCTCCATTTGTGCATGCCTTCTTTGTAAGCACAAGCGCCTGCCCCTCGCGTGAGTGGAGTTTTGTGAGTATGAGTGCACACCACTCACACAAGTAGAGCATTGCGCATGAGCACAAGCGCCCACCTCTTGTACAGCTGGAGTTGCACGTGTGAGCGCAAGCATCCACCACTTGTGCTACCCAGTTCGAAATGAACCATAGCCCAGTAGAGGGACAAAGCCTGAGGTTTGGGGACCTCGACCTTAAAGAATAAAAGTAGGGTGGCTTTATGATTCAGCCAAAAGATGATTTAGCTCATCTGTTGGTTTTATGACAGACTTCTTGTTTGATTCTAGAAGTCTTCTATACTACTACTTCTAGATTTTTCTTATTTAAAAAACCTGAATAAATAATTGAAATTAATTAATTTAGTTCAATTTCTATAGCCATCTATTTTAGTCAATGACTCTGGGTGGCTTACAATTCAAGAAACATATTACAATTAAGACACCAAAATCATTTTAAAACAATAAACATAATTTAAAAAAATACAAACATATAAAATAAATATACATAGAAGCTGAGATATTTGACCAGTTAACAATAAAGCCAGGAAATGGGGCCCTTGACACATTCACCACTCCAAGCTCAGGAATATAGTCAGGATTTAAGGCCTTACAAAAGGCTAATAGGGTTGGGGCCATTCTAATCTCCAAGGGGAGGACATTTTATAGAGCAGGGCTCATCTTCTAGACCCTGCCACCTGATATTCTTTGGCTGATGGGATCTCCAGCATGCCCATTCAGCTAGATTGAGGTGGACAGGTAGAAACTCTTCGGAAAAGGTGATCCCTCAGGCAGCCCAATCTCAAACCATGTAGGGCTTTAAAGGTGACACCTTGAATTGCACCCAGAAACCAACAAAGCTCATACAGAAGTGATGTTATGTGTGACTTATATCTTGTACCATTTACTACCTGCACAGCCACATTCTGCACTAGTTTGAAATTTCTGAATGCTCTTCAGGACAATCCCAATTATATTACCTATCCAAGAAATTCAGTGAAGTTTTGTGCTGAAGCCACATGTGGAGCAAACAGTTAAATGCCCTTTTGAACAAATATGTTCAAACATTAATACACACATTTTCAAAGATTATTTATATGTGTAAGTTCTTAACCTTGAATATTTTCCTTTCACTGGCTAGAGTATAATGCTTGTTGCTGTAAAGCATACCTAACTAGTGGGTCTGCAATTTTCTAAAACAAGGTTTGATTACATATCTGAGGATCACAACCTGGAGATGAGAAATCAATATTCAAGCATTCAAACCCCTTATTATTCATAAAACATGATTGTGACATTCAAGACTTTTTTTTTAAGAATTGGTCAAAAATTTTGCAAAGATTCCTAATGCACATTTCTATTTAATAGAAACCTTTATTGTCTAAGAATCAGATAAAAGTTGATGACTTTTATAAAGTATTTTAAAAAGATAACCATCTTGAAAGGAACAAAGCTGTTTTAATCCAATCATATTAACAGATAATGAGACTCACCATATTCAATATTTTCACATGAGAAAAATTAAATGCAGGGATGTCAGCTCAGGACTAGAGATTTTTATTTACTTGCCAAAAAAAAGTAATACCATCCAATCACATTTTAAAATATATTAGTAGCTACAACTTTTCTCTGAAATTATTTATGATCAGAAAGTAGAGGTATCAAGCTAAAGCTTTAATAAACTTACTTATCTCTTTCTTCTAATGAACATTTAAAAAATAGAAATAAAAATAAATAATAAAAAAAATAAAAAAATAGAAATTGCTAGCTTTGTAACAAGGAACAACTTGTGTCCCTGCCAAGCATCAAAATTATGGGCCTAAAGGAAGAACCAGAAATTACAGTGTGGTCTTTTAAAATATTATCTAATTATACAGGAGTTATTTTATATGGGCTCCTCTCATACAGCTGGGATTCCATTCCAATTAGACATGGATGGGTGCTATCACATATATTCCTGAAGTAGAATGACTCCTTATCAAAGGGATAGTCAATACTACAAAAGAGTGCACATAATTTGGTCACACTAACATTTGGAATATTTCAATTAGGAGCACACAATTGGAATACTTCCCCATCCCAAACCTTAACAAAAATCCCAGGAGATCTTCAAAGGTTACATTAAAACTTTGTAATTTTTAATATGAGGGAAGGGAAAAATATAATATACAGTATATCCCATGACATAGTATTTATTGAAAGAAGAACAATATGATTTTCATTAACTCAAATGTAGTTCTTGTTCTAGTCATGCCCATATGCTTATCCTGGGGCCATCTAGTTTTGGGGATGGAGTTGCTGGCATAAGTTCAAAGCAACTAAAGCAGTCATCAACCTAAAAAATTGTACCCCTCCAATTTGAATGAATATTTGAGCCAGGCAGAAGCCATTCAAAAAAAGCCACTCCATCTGATAATATTTTCAAAGACATCTTTGTTACAAAAAGAGGTGGCAACTTAGCTTTCTATCTGTTTTAGCCTAAGCAGCCAAGAGAGCCCATTTGTACCTGATCAAATGTCTATTTTCCCATCTCATGGGAACTTGCCTTAAATTGTCCAACCGAAACACAGCGAAAGACCCTGTGTTCTTCTAGGAAACCTTGTAAAAAGCAAGGACTTCTGTTGTATAACTTTAGCTATATATAAGCTAAACTATTCCCCTTGTTCATGAAGACTTTATCCAACAACAGCTGTTGCACACTTTTTATACAGGTAGTCCTCAACTAAGAACTATTTGTTCAGTGTCCATTTGAAATTACAATGGTGCTGAATGAAGGGACTTACGGCCCCTGTCTGAAGTTCTGACCACTGCAATACCCTCCCAATCATGTGATCAAAATTTGGGGACTTGGCAATGTGGCCACCTTTATGACTGGGAGTGCTCCAATTCTTCCCATCATGAGCTGGGAGGCCTCTCTTATCCTATCCCCTTTTCTCCCTCAGGCTTGCCCCACAGACGCCTCTCCTATCCTCCCTATTGCCTTCAATCCCTCTTCCTTTCCCCATTCCATTTGGAAATTGAAAGTTGAAAACATTGACAGGCCATACTGCCCTCCACCATGCTCAGAAGACTCAGCTGGCTAGGCCCAAGGCCTGGCCTTCTCCCTGTCCCACCATGCTTAGAAGACCTCAGCCAGCTGGCCTAATGACATGTGGACCTCCTCCTCACCACTTCGCAGAGGCTTGGCATTCTTGCTGACCTACCATGACCGGGTACACTTATGTTTCTCTTTCGCTGCAATTGCGGACAGACACACCCAACCAATGTGAGACTCAGCTAGAAATCTAGCAAAGGAACTCTTCTTCAAGGCTAAAGATTGTCCTCTAGACTTGCTAGGAACAGGAAGGATTGTTTTCTTTGAGTGAGGCAGTCATGTGGATGTCTTGCTTTAACAACCACAATGACTAACAACCAAAATTCCAAGTTCAATTATGGTCATAGTCTTTGATTACCTGTGCTCCACAACATGTCCAACAGCCTAAACCAGGCATGTTCAACCTTTTGGCTTGCCTGGGCTCCACTGAGTGAAGAGAAATTGTTTTAGGCCACATATAAAATATATAATATAGTTAATATTTTTAAACTGGTGATAGAACCTTATCTTTATTTTTTATTCTAATCTCTTTTCCATACCTACCCCTAATGAGAAAAATATAAATTCTCCTTGTAAAGCAATAAAAGAACTAAATAAGACCTTCTCACTTTTCTTGACTAAAAGACTGTTTTAAATATAGAACCATTATTATTGCTTCATATGTAACCATGATCACAGTAATTTTCTTCCCTAATTTCATCATTGCATTTTAGTTCCCTATCACATAATCACTGACATATTATGTGCCATCAAGTCAGTGTCAACTCTTAGCTACCACATAGATTTTCTCCCTAACAATT